AACTTTGTTAGACAGATTTGGTTAAATGATCGATTAGAAATATAGAATTTAAAACAAGAAAAGTATTAACTGATATGACACATTCTAAACACATAAATGGGTGATAAGGAATATAGAAGAAAATGTTTTAACATGAATAAAAAAAGATCCACGAAATTCTAATTTTTCTTTTGTAAACAATATAAAGATAAATAGAACAATGACATAAATGTAAAAATCTCGGAAATTAGAGACATTTGCATTGCATCACACAGTACAATAGTTTTTACCAAAAAGGAAATAGATGATCTTGAAAAGTATCGTTAAACAAAGAAAATTGTCGCATCTTATTAAATTCTGATACGGTACATGCTTTATTTCATATTACTCATTCATATTTCTTTAAGTTACATATGCACTTTTTGTTATCATATGATTTCAAGTAATATTTTGAGCTTCAACTATATCGTGATAAATAGCGTAATAGATATGATAAATATCGTGATTAATACATGGTATAAGGTATCGTGATTAAAAAATACATAGTATAAGATATCGTGATTAATATATAGTATAAGATATCGTGATAAATAGCGTGATTAATACATAGTATAAGATATCGTGATAAATAGCGTGATAAATAGACATAGTATAAAGCCTATCAAATTACAAGACACGTATCAAGGGAGGGTTTATTATTCAATGTGATTTCTAATACGTCTTTATGTTTGTAGTAAAATTTATTGAATAATAAGGATTATTACTTCAATAAAGAGTTTCCTTATTTACAAACAATAAAATTTTAAATCACTGCGTATAAAAAAAAAACCAGAATCGTTACAGACTAATAAGACCAAAAAAAAAATTAAACCTGACTAATCAGTTTTTGAAACATTTTAAACCTGACTAATCGGAATTAAAAATTTATTGTATATATAAGAATAACTCATTGTATACTCATTGTATACTCATTGTAATAAAATTTAAAAATGGTAACTTACTTTTTTCCTATTTTTAGAAACTTGAACTCTGAAATTTTTTTTAGTTATTCCGGTTTTACTTTAGAATTAAAAATTTTAATATTGACTTAAAAATCAACTTAATAAAGACAACCAAGTTTAGTCTAACTATATTTGAAATAAATTGTTATTATCACTATATCCTCGTTTGATAATATTTAGTTTGTCATTTTATCATACTTTTGATCTATCAACCCCTTACTTTATTATTATGCTTGTAAAGAAACAATCATAACTACTTTTTGTTTGGCATACTTCTTTGTGTTTAGTAGTGTTGATTAAGTAGTGTTAAATTACTGTAAGTAGTGTCGGATTAAGTTTAAGTAGTATTTATTAAAGTAGTATTAAAATAGTATTAAAAATAGTGTTGTATTAAAATAGTGTTGTATTAAAATAATGTTGTATTAAATAGTGTTGTATTAAAACAATGTTGTATTAAATTGTGTTAGGTTAAGTAGTGTAAGATATGATCATGCGAAATTTTTATTAAACCTTTTTTGACTATTTCGCGTCCTTTATTTCAAAAGTTTATTTCAAAAGTTTATTTCAACAGTTTATTTCAACAGTTTATTTCAACAGTTTATTTCATCAGTTTATTCGCGTTATTATAATTTACAAAATGGAACATTTTTACTGCATTTAATTGGAGACATAATAAAAGTTGCGTTCAAATTCTATAAATATTATATTGTAATTCCGAAGGCTTTGGAATTATTCAGACAATGATTTAAGTAATATCAAGATATTATTCAGCTATTCAACTATATGCTATACGCGTTTAATTATTACTATAAAAAAAAAAAATCCGGTGATTAGGTGATTATAAATACACGTGTAACCAATGCGGATAAAATGTACAAGATTTACAAAAGAAAAACAATGACAAATCGTACGACAAAGATAAGTATCGCCTAAAAGTTTTTCCTTGTGAATCATAAATATATTTAGAACGGTACACCATGATTTCTAACGAACGGAATAATATATTGACCTGCAATTCTGCAATTAATAAATAGCCGATATATCACGTATCACGTATACCTATCAGGTCATGTGACTTTAACCCGTAAAGGCCGAAAATCCGATTGGAACAAAAACAATGATTGAATAATCCGAATTAAAAAATAGAAATCAACGCTGGAATAATCCGAATTGAAAAATAGAATTCAACACTGGAACAATACTAGGAGGTCATTTCAAACTATAGTCAAACCATAGTCAAACTATAGTCAAGTTATAGTTGTTATTCAAATTAAAAAAATATTGCTAAAATGCTAGTTAATTCCTAATTATTACCGTCATTATTTAACATATAATTATGGTTATTAACAATAGAATAGATACTTTTGACTAGTTATATTTGTATACAAAAGTAATTAAATAGTTGTGTATAGGAATTTTTGAAAATTTGATTGAATAGTTTGTGCAACTTTTGCTCTCCACAATGTATTACAACGTATATTATTACATTATCATTCTTTTTGTTTACCTACTTTGCGATACCTTTTGATATTAAAGCAGCATTAACAATTAGAATTTATCCACCCGAATAGTTTATTTTGAATAGTTTACATTGCAAAATTATATCATAAAGCATAATGATAAGGCATAATTATAAAGCACAATTATAAGCCATAATTATAAAGCACAATTATAAGCCATAATTATAAAGCACAATTATAAAGCATAGTTAGATAGAAGAAGGAATTATATATTCATTTATTTTTGACATATTTTTAGAGTTGAATTCAATTACAATGATACGCAAATTTCGGATTTGGTTCGGATTTAATTCCGTTACTTTGAATTAAATTTAATTAAAACCATGACTAATAATGCAAACTAAAGCTTACAACATATTAACTTAATTTAGAGAAAAATGGTATCATATATGTACTATATGCTTCTCTTTGTTCATTCTTTCTATTTTCACTCTCTTTGTTAATGACTTTGTTTAAAACCGTACAGATAGTCGAGATTGTGTTAAAACCGAATATACAAAATATTTTCATAAAATTTAAATATTTCAAATTTATCTAAAATTTTTTGTTTTTTTTTCTTATGTCTATACCAAATTACTATTAACCTCTCGGCTCTTTTCGTATGTGTTTCTCCGACATTATACAGTATATAGTATATATTCAGTATATAGTATAAAATAATAAAATGATAAACATACAATTAAGGCTAGATTTTTCCAGAAAATCGTGTAACCAAAACATAGTGTTACCTTATATCACCTCACATTTTCACCTTACATCACCTTGAAACGATTTATAAACGACTAATTTTCCAGCCTCCTCAAAATCAAGTTTTTACTCAAAATCCTACGAGGATAAGAAATTATCAACGTAGTTTTTTTTTTTTTTTAAAAAAAAAAACAAAACAAAACAAAACAAACCAATAAATAATAATAATTCAAAATAAAAATGCATTCTTACATCCCTCCAAATCATCATGAAGATGACCAACTGAAAATAAATTCGCGTTCTTCTAAAGTAACCAAGAAAGCAAGAACCTACGTAACATTAGCATGCACAAATTGTCGTAGTAAAAAAGAAAAATGTTCTGGTGAAGAAAGATGCACAAATTGTTGTAAGCGAGATAGAAAATGTGTATATGAAAAATCCGATAAAAAACGAGGACCTAAACCTAAATCAAGCATCACACCTACAATTACACCTATTATTACACCTAAACTTTTTAATTTATTAAACCCCGTACCTTGTCAATAAATAAATTTAGATTTTTTTTTTCTTTATATGTCGTATTATATATCGAATATGGTCAAATAATTGTTATGTATGTATGCATGTATGTATGTATGTATGTTAAGGATTAAAAAATTTCATTGTTCGTCTACTTACTGTCCAACTTATACTCGGACATACTATTGAACATACAAATATTTGACACTATTTGATACACTATTTGACACATTATTCAACCTCAACTTACTATCCAACACACTACTTGACTTACGGTTCAACTTATTATTTGACATACTACTCGACTTATAGTTCAACATACTACTCGACTTTTCAACATAACTTTTCAACATACTACTCGACTTATAGTTCAACTTATTATTCAACTTAGTCCAATTTATTGTCCGACTTACTGTATATCTAACAACATAACAAAATTTTAAATTTTACAACAAAATTATACACAATTTTATATCAAATAGTTTAAAAAAATTCTTCGTAAATAATTCTTATTAGAAATCACAAACCACGTAAAAAGAAAAAACATTTTGTACCATATAATAAATAAGTTTAATTTCATTCTCAAACATTAAGCCCCACCTTACATATATTTGATTATAAAAAAATTAATTCAATAGTGTAATTTTCCTGTTTGACAAAAAGTGTTCATACAATAACTATTACTAAATTGAAAATTTTTCCCCCAGGAAAAATAGTGAAAAATAACAGTAAAAATAACAGTAAAAATAACAGTGAAATTAACAGTAAAAATAACAGTGAAATTAACAGTAAAAAATAACAGTAAAAATAACAGTGAAAATAACAGTGAAAATAAAATAACAGTAAAAATAACAGTATTGGAAAAATCGATACAAACCATTGATATTGTTTATAGTGTACAACTACTGTATACTATACAAAATTATTCCAACTATATACAAATATATACAAATATATACAATATATACAAATATATAAAACTAGTGTATACAACTATGATTTGCAAAAAATAGGACTACTAAAAATATAAGTAGACATACTTGTGTAATAAATACGACATAAAAAAAATCCAAAGGTAGTACTTTACTATACCGGAATTTACCGTGTTTCCGGCCGCTAAACTTTAAATTACGCCATGATGTAATTTTAGATTATTAGAATATATTACATAATAATTTAAATAAGTAAGTACAAATACTTACATGCATACATAACATACATACATACGTATAAGTTATGTTATGTAAATACACTAAATAGTTATTACATTATGTTAACTATTAATAGTTAGTCATTAGTAAAATCCGATAAATCCGATTACACTAATTAAGCCTTGATGCTAAACGGAAAAACATTTGGATTTAACATGTGACCGGGATAACTCTATCAAAACTAATAGCCGTGGCGCTTTTTTTTCTTTTTTTTTTTTTACTTTTGCCAAGGTTTTATAACAAGTAAAACCTGTAACTTATTTTTGTGTAAAAAAAAAAAATGATTGAGTAATGATAATCATTTACCGGAATTTTATTCCAATTTGAGTATTTCAATTTGAGCATACCAATTTGAGCATGAATAAACGATGTGAATAAACGAAATGCAGGTGTATACATAAGTAACCTAACTACTAAATAAATAGTTACATACGTACTTAAGGTAAGTAAATATTATACGTATGTATGTACTTATTAGTTCTTGAAATAAGATGTGGATCAATCCGAATCTGTTCGGCTCATCAGGTGACTACCTTCTCGGATTTTTCCGGTCATGCAGAGTAAATGAATTCATTCGAGAACCAGCCTTGTTTTATCAATACAGCAATAACGATAATTGGTGCTATATATATATACGTATATATACAGTATTTTTTTACTTTTTTATTTATTTTTTATTTATTGATGTATAATTTAATTTTATAAAATTCCAGAAAATTTTATAATTTATAGGAAAACGTGTATGCGAGTCTTTTTTTTATTAATAAATTGTTAAATTGTAATAAATTTGGATAATAAATCGGTAATAAATTGGTAATAATAAATTAGTAATAAATAAATCGTTAATAGTAATAATAAATCAGTAATAAATTTAATTTGCTATTATCTTCCTTTTATGATTGTATATTCATTTTATTCATTGAAAATTTTTTTAATTCTTTTCACACAAAACTTTTTTTGGAAATCAAAGTGAATATACCATATATACCATATACGCATTACCCATATACACATTACGTACATAGTATGAATTTTTTTAATATTGATGATGGCGCCTTTTCTTTATTTATTTAATATAGTACAATCATTTATTCTTTTCCCTTTCACAATCTCCTAATTCTACAAGTTACCTTCTATTGTGGCGGTGATTTACTGTATAATTTACTGTATATGGGGAATCATGAAATGAATCAATAAATGAATATGAAATATGAATCATGAAATGGTCTTTGTTTAATATATTAATATATTCTAATATACGTTACAATATCTTTGTATCCAAAACCTGATTTTTAAATGCTAGTTAATTTATTAAATATATATTACTAAATATAAGTATAATTTGTGGTGACCGACTTTTAACAACATTCATTTATTGAATAAGAGAATAAGTAAATACAATTACAGATACAGTTATAGATACAGTTATAGATACAGTTATAGATACAGTTACAGATACAGTTACAGATACAGTTATAGTTATAGAGATCATGTATGTATTCGGACCAGGGTTTGAAGGTGTAGTTTGATAGTTGCTGCAATTATAATTGATTAAAAGAAAGAAGCAGGCGTTTTATAATCGGATACTATAATTTCTAGTTCAATAGAATGATCAGAATACATTTCAGTACAAGAGCTGCAAGATAATCATAATCTTTTGATTCTTCAAGTTTTAGAAAGTAATACATTCTAGAGATTGTACACTACTACGTTATTATTAGATTTGAAATATGTAAAGTTGGCTTTCTTAGGATTTTTCCAAATAAATGTTTAATCAATTACTATATAATACTATACATACAAGAATAGAAATAGAAAAATATGACAAGAATTTATTGTTATTAAAGTAAGTTTTAATAATATCGTTTAGGGCAATTTAACTACAGACTGTCGCTGCTATAATTACTTTATTTACTCATTTTGATTACACTGATATCTTTTGAAGGTATTACAATTACTGTAATTGCTGTAATTTCTGCAATTTTCTGTAATTTCTGCAATTTGCTGTGATTTGCTGTAATTACTGTAATTGAAACAATTCGCATACAATAATGCGACAAACTATCTTTTGATACGTTTTTGATGCGTTATAATATGTTACATGTGAATCTCGACGCATATATTCAAGGATGAATCATTCAAAAGTCAAAGTGGATCATCAGGTTTTCGTTTATTATAGCAAAGCCAGTAGAAGATCAGGAGATCCTTTGATGCAAATTTCATACCTAATGTGGTACTTACAGTAGTACCGATACCGATACAGACGTGGATATTATGACTAGCATATTGATATCGATATCGATATACATCAACATAAGTATATAAACCAACGATTTCAATTTACCATTACGATTACGATTGACGCTCGGCGTGCGGTTTTATTTACTACCAAAGATTCAGTACTTTCATATATATAGCACGATCTAATCTAAAATCAGAACAATTTTATTTCACAATATAACCGTTTTTGATATTAGATTAATAAGTTTTTTGTATTTAATAACAGAGAATCGTACTATTTTATTTATATTGAAACACCGCCTCACGCTAAACCTAAATTGGCATGATGGACACATTTTCACGTGCTTGATCAATCGGGTTAAAGTTACGTATATGTATTCAATTTTTTTTTACAATTAAAATTAAAAATTTTAAATTATTCAAATTATTCAAAAGTATTTAAATGTATTTAAATGTATTTAAATATATTCAAAAGTAATCAAAACTATTCAAATTATTCAAAAATATTCGGATTTTAAATAATAAAAGACTTGGCATACAAATATATATGTACCTATGTACCAATAACAAGTGATATCCAATGGTATGTGATGAAATTTGTGTAATCCAATTAAAATTTTAAAATTATTCGTATACTATACATATTTTGAGAATTTGTTAAAGAACTTTCCTGAATTACGATTTTATTTTTATTATTATTGTTGTTGATAATGATAATATTATATCGATAATATATTGTGCGATAATATATTGTATGTGTAAAACACTTTCTGAAACATTCGTTTCATAATATTTATTTTCTATCATTATTTGATAGAAATATTCTTTATCTCTTAGATCCATAACCTCCTTTGAGTTACACACTTATTATTACTTAAGTTGTCTCATCTTATCCCTTAAACCGTCCAATCCAAATATAGTTTTCCTGAAAGACGGTTAAGTTTTAAGGGATAATGCATTATTCGATGCTCAAAATTATGACTTTATTTATGAATCTACTTATTTACGCGACAGTAATTCATAATTCATATAGTGTTTCACTAAAAATCAGGTAAAATTAATGAATTTTAATTCTTAGTAATTGCTTTACAAATGAGAATTTTAAGAATTATATTAATGATATTAATTATGTTAATTATGCTAGTTAATTATGTTAATTATGTTAATTATGCTAGTTAATTATGATAATTATGATAATTATGCTAGTTAATTATGTTAATTATATTTACTTATTTAACTTTTTTATCTAACTGGTGCATATAAAAAAGCATTTATTTACGGAATTTGGCTGTTTCAAATTCTTATGTAGTAAAAAACATTTTTTAAGTAAATAAAACCATTTTGACTATTTAATTTATCGTTATTACTATATTAGAACAAGTATAAATTAATATAGAACTTCCTTCTCGAGATTTTTTTGTCAAGATTTTTTTCAAGATTTTGTCAAGATTTTTCTCAAGATTCTTCTCGAGGTTCTATTCCCGTGACATTCATTTTAATGCTACACAAAAAATTTGACGGTAAAAAGATGTAGATGGTTACAAATTTTAGTTTAGATGTCATGGAAATCACAAATATGCATAATAGAATCTTGTTTACATCTATTACATCAATTACTTTTATTAGTTATTCTTGCTAGATATTTTATTCCACAAAAATTTAGAAAACTCTAGTTTAATTTAGTAATTTCTTAGAAATAAAATAGAAATAAATAGAAATAAAATAGAAATAATACATCTACCTATAACTTCTATAGATAAGTTTGTCTTATTAGAACCTTTAGCTCAAATCCTTTAGCTCAAATCTTTTAAAGATAATCCGAATATACCGACCGATTCGATTTTATTGTAAGGGACGTAAATGCTAATAATAAGGTGTAATTATAGTAATTATAACATTGAAACTAAAAAAAAAATTAAAAATAATAAATAAATAATATATACTGTAAATAGGTATATAAATAAACCTTTTTTGCATTATAAAAAGATTAGATTGTCTACCATAAACAAAAAAAAATAGAATTTTCCGTTACACCGAAATTACACAATTTCCTGGTACGTACGGATTGCATAAAAAAGAGAATTCTAATTAGAATAGATGCATGAAAAAATTTTAAGATTATACTTTCATTTTAATACGTACGTATTAATGATTTCATTTTAATACGTATTAATAATTTCATTTTAATAATTAATTACGTATTAAAAGCCGGTTAAAAGTATATACGTACTGGGAAATTAATGAAAGATACGTATGTACAAGAGCTCACGCAATTTGAATCTTGGAAATAATATTACCCATAAAGCAATCTTTATGTTATTGCTATAAATAAATAAATGTAAAAAAAAAAAAAATTCAAGATTGTTTTTTTTTGTACACTAAAAAAAAAACAAAGTTTACGAAAAACGGGAATTTAACGTTATACAGAGATATTAATTTTTAAATGCTTACTAGAGATTATTCCGTAAATAATTATGCATACGTTTAACAACAGTTTACCATTCAATGGTATTCATTGAATGATACGGAAATATACAAATACGTCCGGAAAATTAGTTTGGAAGTTGTTTCTTTTTTCTTTGTATTATTTTTTATCAAATGATTTTTAAGTGACCATATGATTTTTTTTTAAAAAATTGATTTGATTTTTATTTGGTTTTTATCATTCGCCAATCACCATTTTAGATGCTTTCTACCACATCCGTTAGTTCATTTACTTGTAAATAATAAAATCTCTGTCGGCGACATACGTAGCTAATAGCAACTACATACCTTTTTTCATTAAATGGTTTTAAGGAACATCTTACAAATTTTATCATTGTATATAGTACACAAACTTTTGTAAAACATCAACTTGAGCATTGTTAAAAAAAACGCCCAATGGTACGTACATATTTCCTGTATTACATATTATACGTCTAATACTTACTTAATACTTACTTATGTGACTTAATACGTACTTATGTGACTTAATACTTACTTATGTGCTTATGTACAACTCCAACGTTAATTCTTCGGAATAATCGCCATTACCGTTCATACTATCACGAGATCTGTATTATTCCCAATGTACGTACGTACGTACTACGATAATACAAATATCATATGCAAATGATGATGCTTTTATATTAATGTATTGTAATAATTATTGTTCAAAT